TCACAGATTCCGGTGTTTTTAACTGGCTAGTGCCACAGTTTGAGGTTTGCATATTTTCACTGTTGTGAACTGTATTTCAGTACCGCATTGGTAGAAGAAACCTATTTGTTGAAAGACACCGTCTTCCGGGTTCTTTGCGCGTCACTCTACGTGGATCGTTGTAACCTGTGAAGTCATCAGTACTAAAACTAGTACTCTGAATTGGAATTTACGATTGGTCTCGAGCGCTCGGGATATCCTGTACTTTGTCAATTTGCGTTTGGATCTATTCTTCGAGGATGCCTGTAACCCGCAGTTGTCAGTCGAAGAATCCAGACAGTCATGAAGATGAGATTACCATAACTCCGGTGAACTCCCCCCTTGTTGTACACTCACCCCCGGTTTCACAGTTCTCATCGCCCTCTAAGTTTGACATGTATTGTGATAGGGAATTGAACAGGCATACTGTAGCGAGTTGTAGTAGGCATAGTTTAAGAAGAGAATTACTTGAAAAGGAATTAGATTTGGAGTTAAAAGGGCTAGACATTAGACGCTGAAAGATTCAAGTTCAACGAGAAGCGCTACTAGGCACGCCGGATGAAGAATCTTCCTTAACGCATGGTGTCATCCAAAGACCCCAATTTGATAGCAGATACGAATCGAAGAAAAAAGTTGAAGAAATGAACGCCGAAGGTCCTGAGCGGTTAATCAATGTGCACCCGATTTGCACGTCCGCAGCTCTGCCTAAAACCGAATTGGACAAGTTTGACGGCGATCCGCTCCAGTTTTGGAAATTCATCCATGGATTCAATATGTGTATAGCGCAGAACATCCGAGAAGATCACTATCGCCTACTGATACACTGATACACTGATACACTATTGTAATGGTGCAGCTAAGGAGGCCATCAAACACTGTGTTTTATTACCAGAAGCGGTAGGCTTTAACACGGCCATGGAAATTCTGAAATCTCAGTTCGGCCGACCACACGACATAATGGAACGTTTCATGAAAGAGCTGCTTACAGGAGACCCTATCCCTACCAATGACCTAGATGCACTCCGCCACCTGGTAAGGACGATGAACAACTGTGATTCGGTGCTATCTCAGTTTGGGTTTGCTGCTGAGATCAATTGTTCCACCAATATGAAAAGGATCGTCCAAAGACTTTCCAAGGGTCTGCAGACTACGTGGGCGGAAAAGGCTGATGACCTTTTAAGCGAAGTTATCGAACCTACATTTATAAATTTGATTGCATTTCTTACAAAACGAATATCATTGGCAGCTAATTGTTATGGGCAGTTAGCTCAACAGTCCAATACAAATCATAACAGAGTTGCGGAAAGCCGACGATTTGATAAACCTATGAGAAATGTGCATGCGATCTCCTCTAGAGAACGAAGCGTTTGCACTGTGTGTCGCAAAGGTGAACATTTAATTCAAAAGTGTGATCTTTTCTTGGGTATGGAACACTCAGAAAGGATCGGCATACTAAAGCAAAAGGGGCTTTGTTTTAACTGCTTCATTCCTGGAAATCGAGCTTCAGACTGCCGAGGAAACAGCAGATGCGAGTACCCCGATTGCGGTCAACGACATCACAGCCTCTTACACATAAAACCCTC